TGTTTCACTAATAAAAAAAGAAAAAAAAATGAATTTTAAAAAGGCAACTGGAAAAAAAACAATGTTACAGGATATAAAACTTATTGGTGCTTCACAGAAAATAATTACTGTAATCCTCACAGCAACACTATGAAGCATGTCATACACCTATTTCATAGATCAGGAAACATGTTTATTAACTTAGCTAGTAAGCACTGTCAGGAATTTAAACTCCACACTATTTAGATCTAGATTTTATGCTATTAATCAATATATTATTCCAAGAGTAAGAAAAATACAAAAGGAATACTAGTTATCATCTGCCTATGAAAGGTTAAAATAGTAACAAATAATAGTTTACAGACTTTCAAAATAATATGTACAACTGAGATAAACATGGAAGAGTTTCCATACTCCTAAAGAATAGTTAGAAAAAAATATAAAATTAAATAAAATGGGCTACTATAATTGCTTCTATAGTTCCTGAAATTAATGTTTCAAAGGCAACTAATGTCCCAGAAGCAGGAATAAAATGGGAAGAAGAAAAAACAAAAAAATCATAACAAAAGCAAATATCAATCAACTCAAGATTTTGCCACATTATTTAGAAGCCAAGGAATTCTCCATGAATTTCCTTCCCAAACAGAAAGTTAACAAAACCTGGAAACTACATTCTTGCTACTATGAAACAGTGCTTCAAAATTAGACCACTTTGCTTTTTTTTGGTTCTACTTATAATGTGTAGCAACAAAGTAACAAGTCTCACAATGGAGAGGTTACTCAGCTGGCTGGAGCAAATCATGAAAAACAGGAGGACAGTGCTACTTATAATCTGTAAATAAATCTATTATAAAATACTACATCACAAATTCACAAAACTGACACACTAGAGAAAAGTTGGGGGGAAACATAAAAATGGATTAAAAATTGTTGAGGTTTTCACTATAATAACAAGGAAAAAATGAAAAAGGAAATCTATAAGAAAGATTATGGATAGGCTGGAGAAAATAGTACAAGTGTAGGATGCTTTGTCTTGCACTCTTACACATGGTCAACCCGGATTCGATCCCCAGCACCCTATATGGCTCCCTGAGTCCCATCAGGAGTGATCCCTGAGCACAGAAGTAGGAGTAAGCACTGAGTACAGCCAGGTATGGCTCCCCCCAAAACGATTATACAAAGTTTACTGATTTTTAAACTTCAACACAAATTCTCATCCTTTCTAAAGCAGTCCCCATTGGGGCGGGAGCGATAGTACAGTGGATAGGGTGTCTGCCTTGCACACGGCAGACCTGGGTTCAATCCCCAGTATCCCATATGGTCCCCCAAGCACCACCAGGGGTAATATCTGAGTGCAGAGTCAGGAGTAATCCCTGAACATAGCTGGGTGTGACCCCAAAAGTCAAAAAAATTAATTAAAAAAAGTGGTCCCCCTTAATAAACTATTTTATAAATGCCATTAATACTTTTGGTCAATAAAACTGCTATATATACCATATTAAATAATAGCATTTTCTTCAAGATTTGGATGCCTTGTGGGGAACTGGGGTGGTGCTGGAGAGGGCTTTGGGCCACACCCAGCAGTGCTCAGGGCTTTCAGTTTAGGGATCATTTTGCAAGGTGCGCAAGGATCCATACATGACACAGAGAATTGAATCAGGGCCAGCCAAATGTGAAGCAAGTGCCTTACTCCCTGTATACTCTCTCTCTCTCTCTCTAACCCAAGATTTGGATCCTTTTCAGGAGCAGAAAGCATGCCTTTGAGCTTTAGTGCTTTGTGTAGGGCTGAACTGATGACACTAAAAAGAAAAAAGTGTAATGGTTCAATTTTTCCTCCTATTTTTTCAGAAAAAAAATCATATAATTCGCAGTTTGTGAAGTTGTAAATTAAGTCCTACTCCAAGCACAAAGCCAGACTGCGATCTCTCAGAGAGAAAAAAAATTTCAGGATTGGAAATGACTTGGAAAGATCTCTCAGAATAAAATGACTCAGGAGTGGGAATGCTTTGGAAACCTTTGGGCATACTAACTTTAAGCAGCAAAAAAGTTCCAGACTTCAATTAGTTTTTCCACAAATAAAATTCCTCAAGTGTCACATTAGAATATTTTAATAAGCAAGTTACTAGAAAGTTGAATACTAGGAAATTGAAAGATTTTAAGAATCCTTCATTAAGGATTCTTACTCATTAAAAATATTTTAATGAGTAAGTTAGTAGGAAATTGAATACTAGGAAATTGAAGAATTTCCTAGTATTTGTTTGAAATAAAATACCAACAAATTTTACTTCCTTTCATTCAATTACCCTTTGTTAAACCAAAATGTAACTTCTGTGTGTATGTGACAGATCAAACCTAAGTCACTCTTATGTGCAAATTATGCACTCTACTAGTGAGTTAAATAAATCCCTGGCCACCCAAAAGAAACTTTTATCATTTAACCAGTTTGTATAATATACTGAGAATAATGAAGCATGGCCATTATGAAGATCATTCATGTTGAATTCATTCAATTCCTATTCTATTTTTTTACGTGGATTCCTATCCTATTTTTTTTTGGGGGGGGGAGGGTCTCCCAAGCTGTTCTCAGGAAGCCTGGAGCACCACAGGTGACTCTCAGCCAACTATGCCATCAATCCACCGCAAATACCAGAGGATGCAAGACATCCTGTGGTGCCTGAGACTACCTGGGACAAACCCACTGGTGTTCGGGGAACCTCCAGGGATGCACCTGGTAATGTTCAGAGGACCAAAGGATACCAGGAACTGAACCCAGATCCACTGCATGCTAAACATGCACCCTAACCACTGAATTAACTACCAGGCCCCTATTAGAAAAAAAAATTTCTTGATTTTTGAGGAGGTAATAACATCAGAATCAATTTTATCACTTTTAGATCTCCAACTAAAATTCTATGTTTCCCCTGCTGTGGCTACACCAATGAGCCTAACTGCACAGCTTCTCTAAGAATATCTACAGCGACACCAAATGCATAAACATGAGATACTAAGATGTTTGACTGAGAACTCTGGGGTCCTCTAGGAGTAGAGGTCGGCAGCCTCCATACCATAGTACTAAAATTCTAGTAGGAGCACACTAAATTATATGAGAAAGTAACATAGATGCCAACTAGACTCAACAAACAAAAACAACACAGAAGGTTCAACTCGAGAAAAACAGCTTAGTAAATCCTCAGACAAAGCTTTAACAATTCTATGGTGAAATATAACAATTTACACAAATTTTCTTCTACTAAAATATTTTTGTTAACTAATTCTGTCATTTGGCTATAACAAGCAATATAAAACAATTTATTATGTGTCTCCTAAGGGGGCAGACTTGGGCGGTGCTTTAGAAAATGGGGACTAGGGTGGAGGGAAGGTTACTCAGGTGGTGGAATTGGTGTTAAAACATCAAAAGTCCATAACAACTGTATTGTAAATAACTCTGTAAACCATGGTGTTTAAATACAGTAAAAATGATTTTCAAATAAAATTAATGTTCCAAAGTATTCCAAATATTATTTTGAAAGAATTGTTATGTAATCTATCATTTCCAAATAATATTTGAGATGTTATTTAATTTTATAGACATGCGAAGTGTTTAAAGTAAATAATACAGCTGGAATCAGAACTCACACTTTCTTTTCCCCATCCACTTTGAAACTTAATATTCAAGTTTCTTGGGGATTAATTTCTATTTTTTCCCCAGAAACCCGTTAGAGGATTAAGTAAGGTAACATGAAAATGCTTGGTCACATACAAAAGTCCACCGTCCACTGTCCTCCCGTTGTTCCTCGATTTGCTCGAGTGGGCCCAGTAACGTCTCCATCGTGAGACTTCTTGTTACTGTGTTTGGCATATCGAATACATCACGGGGAGCTTGCCAGGCTCTGCCGTGCTGGCGAGATACTCTCGGTAGCTTGCTGGGCTCTCCGAGAGGGGCGGAGGAATCGAACTCGGGTCGGCCATGTTGGCTGCGTGCAAGGCAATCGCCCTACCACTGTGCACACATAGAAAAGTAGTAAAAAAAAATTACCAATAACCATTAACATTTATGAGTTGCTCCATAAAAATGTTCACCTCTAAAAATCAAAGATAGGAATGAGAATCATATCTTAGAAGTACTTTGTGATAAAGGCTGAAGAGACAGTACAGCAAATAGGGCTCTTGCCTTGCACAGCTGACCCTGCATCCCATATGGTCCCCCAAGTAGCGTCAGGAATGGTTTCGTTAGTGCAGGGCCAGGAGTAACTTCTGAGCACCATCAGGTGTGGACCCAAACAATACAGAATCCAAAAAAAAAATTGTGTTTATATGAAAAAGTCAGCCGATTCAGTAATAACAGAACTGCTACAATATTGAGGTACCAGTGTTCAGTAATATAGGAATACATATAAGCTCTGAAATCAATGCCCAAATAATGAGATTTTAAATTGATTTCAATTTTTTATGAGTCTAAACAATACAGCACTGATCCCATACACTAATACCAAAGCAAACAGCTTTGATTTCTGGGGACATGGAGGAGCATCTTTCCAAGTGGTGCTGAGGGCGCCAGCTAGGCTGGAAAATTCAACACTAGGCCCAGAGAGTGTGCAACTGCTCATCCCAGTAATCCTGAGCGCAAGGCAAGCACCCTATCCACTGTGCTACTTCTCCAGCACCATAACTGGTGATAGTTAAGAGTCTTCCCCGTGCCAATATTTAGATTTGATTTGCTTTTTTTTTTCCCCCTTTGATTTAAACTGAAGAATTTGAATTATTTAAAATTTACTCTGTTGTAAAATATATAGTAATCTACTTTTGGGGGGGGTGAAGCACAATCATTTTTTACTGACACTCATTTAGAAAGATATGAGCAGGCAAAAGAGAGAAGTACGTGTTCAAGAGAGAACATAGGTTTCTTCAGAGTGGAAATAAGCAAAGAAACAGAGAGACAAGTGAGATACATATTCAAGGGAAAAAAGATGGACTTGAAAAGCCAATTTACATTTATTTGTATTCAAATGAGCATTTTTTAGTCTTGACCTTTAAATCACACATTTAAATTTTTTTATTAAAGCACTCAGAATTGTTTCTCTCCACAAAAATCTTTAGTAAAAGGCGAAAGATTTACATGATCTGAAGAGAAACCAGAGTAGAGCACAGTGGGTAGGGCATTTGCCTTGCATGCAGCCGACCTGGCCGACCCGAGTTTGATTCCTCTGCCCCTCTCGGAGAGCCCGGCAAGCTACCAAGAGTATCTCGCCGGCAGGACAGAGCCTGGCAAGCCACCCGTGATGTATTCAATATGCCAAACACAGTAACAACAAAGTATCCAATGGAGACGTTACTGAGCCTGCTCGAGCAAATCAATGAACAACGGGAGGACAGTGCTAGAGTGCTATGAAAGTACTATGATTGGGGCTAGTGCAATAGCACAGAAGGTAGGGCATTTGCCTTGTACACGGCTGATCCGGGTTCGATTCCCAGCATCACATATGGTCCCCCGAGCACCACCAGGAGTAACTCCTGAGTGCAGAGCCAGGAGTAACCCCTGTGCATTGCTGGGTGTGACCCCACCCCCCCAAAAAAGAGCAGCACCATGATTTACAAATCCATATTGAGTTTTTGGCATACTATGTTCCAGCACCTATCCTATCACCAGTCTTTTCTTCCCTTCACCTCCAGGTAGTCTCCCAACCACCCACCTGCAGGCCCATCCTCTACCTGCCATCTTGACAGGTAAATTTATTTTGGTTAATTGAAGTCTGGATCTCCTGTTATCAGAGCTGTTTGTGGCTTGGATATTTAGCTACACCATTCCTTTACACCACTGATGTACTTAGATTCCTTGACCCCTGCTTCCAGTCTAATCTTTTCTTTCCCCTTCAATTTCTTTACTTTTCTGCTCTTCTGCTCCCTACACTCTGGGACCAAAGGTGATCTAAGAAACCTCCTCCTCCACTCGTATTTCAAAAACTGCATTCCTTTATCCAGTTCTATGTACCATATATAAGTGAGATCATCCTGTGTGAAAACACACTTTAATAAGTGGTCACAGATGCTCTTTGGGTAGCAAACAGGACATTATTCTTTTTTAAATTTAACTTTTTTTTAATTGAAGAAATCAAATCCAAGTTCTCATACATGCAAAGTATGTGCTCCACCAAACTACATCCTAGAAACTATTTAGCATCGACTTTTAATGTAATTGTTCCAGGTTACTAAAACAAACAAACAAAACAAATGCAGGGATTGGAGAGTTGGGATAGGGGTGAGATGTTTGTCTTGCACCATGAAGACCCTGTTCAATCCCTGGTGGTACCACATATGTTTTCCAAGCACCACCAGGATTGATCCCTGAGCACGGAGCCAGGAGTAAGCCCTGAGCATTGTCAGGTATGGTCCAACACCTTTTATCCCCAAAGTGAGAACATCTCACAGAAAAATAGAAAGCTTTTAGAAACATGAAGGAAAGTATAAACAAATGTAGATTCCTTTGGATAGCAAAATAGATATCCTAAGGATAATAACCTCCTCTAAAATTAAATCTATGCAATCAATGCAACATAATTTTAAAAAACCTAACAATACTATCTATGAAATTTAACAAGTGATTCTCAATTTCATATGGAAGAAAATATGAAAGAAAATAACAGCCAAAACACCCAAGAGATTTGTATTCGTTGTCAGTGGCTGTTGTGACATATTAGACCTACAAATTTGGCTTCTGCTTGTCTTCATATTGTCTTCACCATATTGTCTACAGTTCAGCTTACACTGCTGAATCAACAAGGAGAGAGCAGGGGCAAAAAAGTAGGGTAAGCTGTAAAGTCAACGTGTTGTTGAGTTTGTCTAAACACACATTTTCTAGAATTTAGAGCACAGAGTCCAGAGTTAGCTCTGTGCTCCCATTTGACCCAGCAATACCACTCCTGGGAATATATCCCAGAGAGGCAAAAAAGTATAGCCGAAATGACATCTGCAATTGTCTGTTTACTGCAGCACTCTTTACAATAGCCAGAATCTGGAAAAAACCTGAGTGCCCAAGAACAGATGACTGGTTGAAGAAACTCTGGCACATTTACACAATGGAGTACTATGTACCTGTTAGAAAAGACGAAGTCATGAAGTTTTCATACAAGTGGTACTACATGGAAAGTATCATATTAAGCGAAATGACTCAGAAAGAAAGGGATAGACATAGAAAGATTGCATTCATCTGGGGAACATAAAGTAACAAAATAGGAAACTAACACCCAAGTATGGCAGAGATTAGTACCAGGAATTTTACTCAATGACCCGGAGGACAACCACACATGTTAGGGGAAAAGGGAGCTCAGAAAGAGAAGGGAACACCAAATAAAGAGTGTTGGGAGGAGCCGCCCACGATGGGAGAGCATGCTGAGGATAGACTGTTGACCAAGCATGATTGCCACTCAATGCCTCTTTTGCAGACCACAGCACTCAAAAGGAGAGAGAGGGAAATGCCCTGCCACAGAGGCAGGGTGGGATGGGGGCTTGGGGGGGAGGGGATGCTGGGATTCGTGGTGGTGGGAAATGCGCACTGGTGGAGGGATGGGTGTTTGATCATTGTATAATTGAAACCCAAGCACAAAAATGTGTAAGTCTACAACTGTACCTCATGGTGTCTCACTATAAAAAAAAAAAAAAGTTAGCTCTGCGTACCACTGGTCCAAATAACAAAAAGAAACGAAAAGCAAAGAAAATGAATTTAGAATGAATTTACAATGTATTTTATGTTAGAAATAACAGATTTAATAAGCTTATTAATCACCTATTATTCTATTTTCACAAAGTTTATTTCAATCACATGGCATATATCATGGTGCTTTTTGGGGGGGGGGGTCACACCCAGCTTCCAAAAATCTGACACTAAATATATAAATACATTATAATTGTGAATGAAGGAAAAAAATGTTTCCTATTTCCTCCCAAGAAAATTAAGCTTTTTTCCTAAAACGAGACAGTGAAATTTGTAATCCAGTAAGTTTCTTTTTTCACTTTAGCTGTCAGGAAATCTAAGAACCAAATCCGATCTCTATAGCTATAATCAGCTCATCTTTGTAACCTGAAAATGTTTCCTTTTGTGAAATAGTGACCATTCGCTTGTTTACCAATAACTGTCCTATTCAAATTTTATTGTCTTATAAGACATATTCTGTAATGTGCAATAAAATTCCTGGTAAAAGAAAAATGAACACAAAGATGGCGAACACTATTTGAGACAATGGCTTTATCAAGCAAGCTCTAACAATTTGTCAATAAATATGCTTACTAAATCCTTCAGAAACACACAAAAGATAGCATACTTAATAAAGGCAAATTAATTTTTCAAATCAGTAAGATTCAAAACAAAGAATATAAGAAATACTTAGAAAATTAAGGCATAAAATGTCTAATCTCACATATCATGCATATGAAATTAAAATACTTTATAACAAGAAGAGAGCTGATTTTCACTGGTAGTTTACAGTTTAGACTCCTACTCATTTCCAGCCAAATCCAAGTTAGTTTATGCCATTTAAAATTATTTTTCCTTTCATGTTACATTTATACCGAGGACTAGCCCTCAGTTCCTCAGTTTTCTAATTTAGACACTGAAATTTTTCTTCATGAAAACAATATATTCACACTAGAGAAAGACAAAACCAGTTATTTTTTCACTAATCAATAACAAACTTCCTCTATAAATGTAAAATATTAAAAACTGGAACTAAGTTACTTTACATGAAGTTAATTTCAGTTTCACTCATTTATGAAATCCCCTTGTTATTAACATCTGACGTGCAATGTCTTGAAAAAAAATTTTTTTTTAAGTTTGCTTTTTTGTTTCAAGTAGGTCTGAACATTAGGGGAAAGAGTGACTCCTAACAGATGTCTCACAAAGGAGGCAAGTATCTGGTTCCTCCAGCCTACTGCATTAAAAGTTTCCAGGCCTTGGTAAGAGGAAAATAAATCCAGGTGGATCCACAGGAATCCATGTACTGAGAGAGAGTGAAGACAAGGTAATACAGGTAAATAGAATTCACAGACTAGAAAATAAACCAGAAGAGAGCTGAGTCCCGAAGAATGGAAAGAGTTCCTCCACCTCAACCCCTTCAGTATGTTCACTGTATACTTGTAAGAAAACTATCCAACACAAGAGAAAATTTGGAGAATATAGTACTAACTACACACACATACAAAATAAACTATATAAAAACATCTTAGCATGGAAGGTAGATAATGGAGCAAGAATGATAACCTCTCAGTATCTGGTAGCAGAATGCTACACCTATATGTCAAAAGGAAAAATTATGTAAGAAGACTACCTTGGGCCACACCTGGTTATACTCAGGGCTTACTCCTGGCTCTGTACTCAGGGGACCATATATGGTGCAACGGGGCAAACCTAGGTTGGCAGTATGCAAGCCAAATGCCATACCCTCTGTACCATCTCTCCAGTCCAAGAAAGGGAATTCTTTTAATTTTTTTATCAGTGAAACACCATGTGGTACAGCTGTTAACCTTACAAGTTTTTGTACTTGGGTTTTGGTCATACAATGATCGGGTACCCATCCCTCCACCAGTGCCCATTCTCCACCACCAATGGTCCCAGTAACCCTCCCACCCCTCCCATACCCCCATCCCATCCCGCCTCTGTGGCAGGGCATTCCCTTTTGTTCTTTTTCTCCTTTTGGTTGCTAAGGTTTGCAAGAGAGGCATTGAGTGGCAATCATGTTTGGTCTATAGTCTACTTTCAGCATGCATCTCCCATCCTAGGAGAATCCTCCCAACACCCTTTGCTTGGTGTTCCCTTCCCCAAGAAAGGGAACTCTTTAAAATCATGAAATCTATGCAACTAAATACCAAAGAAACCAAACTGGAAAAACAGGTATGTCAAAAAGAGAAGAAACTGGAAGAAAGCAGACTCAAACCAAACAGTAAATGCATACCATCCCGGACCAGGGAGCTGGTTCTAAGGGCTAGAGCCTATGATTAGTTTGTAAATGGCCTGAGTTTGGCCCCCCCAATGGTCCCCTACGTACCAAGCCAGAAGTAGTCCCTGAGCACTGCAGAGTATAGCCAAAAAAAAACATTTGGATATATACATTTTTGTTGCTGAATATCTGAATTTGGTCTGAAGGAGCCCACA